ATTCCTTTTGATGGTATCCCACATGAACCTTAGGCTTTCTTCATTTTGTTTTGATCTTTTTTCTGATTGATCCCTTTCCAGAGAAGTATTGAGGTATTTTTCTTCAATCTCACTGATTCTGTCTTCCATTGATTCCATTCTACTCCTTTGCCCATTCAATGTCTTATCTATTTCTGAAAATTTAGTATTAATCTTCTGGATTTCTATCTGTAGATTTTGTATCATTTGTAATTTTTCATTTATTTTGTCATTTTGTTCCTGTATTGTCTTTCCAAATTGTTGTAGGGTTTTCTCTGTGTTTTCTTCAATTTTTTCAGTGTTTTCTTTGATCAGTCTCTCAATTTGTTGAAGATACCTAAATATAATTCTTTTGAATTCCTTATCAGGGAGTTCCAGTCTGCTTCTTTCTTAGGGGTATGTTCTGGGTCTGTATCCTGGTCCCTTGTTTCTCTTGCTTTATCTTGCTTCTTTGTGTGGACTGTGATGCACTGTTGTCTCCAAGGCATTGTGACATTTTTATGTTTATATTTAATTGGTAATTGTATGTTGGAGTGATTTGCCTATGATTTTAATTTCCTCTGTTTTGTTTATATGTTATCTATGTAAACAGGACACTGTGCTGTGCTCTTCTATTCCCTAGTTGGCAGCACTTATATACTCACCACCTATCTCCTTTCCCATTGTCAGCTTCCCATATGTCTCTGCAGTCCTTAGCAAACAGAGCCTATTCTTAGGTCCCTGGAATCCAAATGATAGTGCTGTCACTTTAAAATCCCAAATGGCCACCACTTGTAAAGATTCAAAATGGTTGTGCCCTCATTCAGTTTAAGTATCTAAAATGGCCACCGCTTATAAACATTCAAAATGACTGTGCCCTCGGGCACTTTAAATATCCAAAATGGCTGCCACTTGTAAATAATTAAAATGGCTGCACCCTCTGGACAGCTGAAAGTCCACAGCTCAGGTTGTCTCCCTCTGTTGTTTCCCTTCCTAGCCATCGGCCACCAGCGCAGTCATCCCTGCAGCCCTTGGTACCAGGGCTAATCTTTAGGTCAATTCTCAGTCCCAATACCACTTGAAAATATTCAGGCTCTTGGTCCCATCAGAGTAGCTGACAGTCCACTGCTCCAACCATCTCTGTACTCACTGTTTTTGTTCAAGTTTTTTCTCTAGTTGGTGCCTAATCCACTTCTGAATACTTCCTTCCAAAGCTTAGGGCTCCAGGATTATCTTCTGTATCTCTATCAACTGGTTTCTCTTTTCTTTGTTGAAGAGGGTCTGTGTAACTTGTTTGCCTATTTTTCCATCTATTTTTCATTTTCTTTGACACAATTAATGATATGCCCTGAGTTGAAGTTACTTTATATTTTATTCCATATTTGCCAATATAATCACCATACTTTTCAGATTGAATTCAAACATTTCTCCTCAGTATGTATTTTTGAATGAGTGAATGAATGAATGGATAGGTAAAATATTCCTATTCTTAACTCTTATCTTGCAGAGTCTGACTTTATATTCAAAGACCCCTTTAGGGATTTTAAGAAAATTTCTGTCACTCAGAAAGTCTTATTTTCTCTAATCAAAGAATTTTTCCATCAGACTAGGGATCCCTGGCTGGTGCGAGTGGCTAATGCACTCAGCTGCTAACTGAAAGGTTTGTGTCCACTTAGAGGTACCTTGGAAGAAAGGCCTATCGGCTTCTGGAAAAATCAGCCATTGAAAACCCTACAGAGCAATTCTACTCTCATACACATGGTGTTGCCATGAGTTGGAGTCAACTGGAAGGCAACTAGTTTACTGGCTTATGTATCTCCTATGAATTTTAAAAAATCCATTCAACAATTTCATTGATTTTTCTATTCTAGGCTGAACATTGCCTGAGGAATAGGGAAAGGGTAAAACATTGGGAGAAACTCCCACTTTAATATGTATTTTTAAAATTTGTCATCTTGTTTCATTAGTATTACAAAATTATTAGTATTACAAAATTATTTGCATTACAAAAAACAATTCTATTAGAAGCACTTTAACACTAAAATGTTAAAATATTTTGCAAGTTGAATAAATCTTTATACTTACAGTATGCATGATTTGGTGTTACTGGTTTATTACTTTTCAGGGATGTGTTTGGTCACATGGGAGAGTGAGTACAATACCCAAGCTACACACTACAATCGTAAAGACAGAAGCACTGATTATGGGATTTTTCAGATTAATAGCCGCTACTGGTGCAATGATGGCAAAACCCCAAGAGCAGTTAATGGCTGTGGCATATCTTGTAGAGGTAAGACAAGATAATGCATGAGTGATGGCACAGGACCCATCTGGTCATACGTACTAGAGATTCAATACAAACAAAAAAGCCTTGAAAGGTTCGATCAGGGACCAAGAGGACCTCTATCTCAAGTTATAGACACTCCTAATAAGTTTATTTTATGGATTTGTTTATTTGGAGCAAAACAAATATTTTGTTGAGCTCATATAAAAATAAAAGTAACATATGGAATCTTTAGTGCAGAAGATAGTAAGTATTGCAAAGCTGATATTATTAAATTTTAAAATATTAAATCATTATTAGAGAAAATTAAGGAACTCTGGTGGCATAGTGAGTAAAACACTTGGTTGCTAACCAGAAAGTTGGTGGTTCAAAGCCACCAGCTGCTCTGCAGGAGGAAGATGATGCAATCTACTTCCATAAAGATTTACAGCCTTGGAAGTCCAATGAGGGTCACTATGCATCAGAATCAACTCAATGACAGTGCGTTTTTTTTTTTTAAAGGGAAGATTATCCTTAGAATATTCTTTTAAAATCCAGCTAATGTAATTATTTAAATATTGTGTATTATATGATAATCTGTGGTCACTGAATAAAAAGTAGGAAATAGTAAGAAACAAAATCACTCATAATTTTATTATCCAGAAATTTATAACCATTGTTAACTTATTTTGGTATATATTTTTCAGGAGTATGTAGCTATCATGTATATGAATATAATGCTATATCATGCACATGCAAACACATAAGCAATGTATGTTTTCACAAAAATCAAACTATATATACTGTTTTACACTTCCTTTTCTTGTTAAAAATTATTTTCAAGACAACTAATACCAATCTGTATTATGATTTTTAAAGGATGTATAGAATTCCATTACATGAATATTCCATAATTTATTGATCCAATTCCTACTGAAAACATAAGTTGTTTCCACTTTCCCCTCTTTTAAATTACTATGAAAAACCTTATACATACATCTTTGGATTCATTAGTTATTATTTCTTTAGAATAAGTGTCTAGAAGTGGAATTGCTACATAAAAAAAGTGATACGTTTTTCTTTCTTCTTTTTTTTTTTTTCAACATTGCCTAGTACAAACAAGAGAGCTCTAGTAGCTTAGTGCCTAAGGCACTGGACTTTTAACCAGAAGCCTGGCGGTTCAAACCCACCAGGCACTCTTGGGGAGGAAGGTTGGGCAATCTACTTCCATAGTGATACTGCCTCGGAAACCCAAGGAGGGGTCACTATGAGTTATGTCCGACTCGACGGTACATAACAACAAGAACAGTACAAACAAAGGAGCTCTGGTGGCAGAGTGGTTAAAGCATTCAGCTGCTAAGCAAAAGGTAGGCAGTTCAAACCCACCAGCTTCTCTGAGGGAGGAAGATAAGGCAGTCTAATTCTGTAAAGATTTACAGCCTTGGAGATCCTAAGAGGAAGATTTACTCTGTTCTAAAGGGTCGCTAAAGGAGCTCTGGTAACATAGTGCCAAAAGCATTTGACTGCTAACCAGAAGGCTGGTAGTTTAAACCCACCAGCCACTCCTTGGAAGGTTGGGCAATCTACTTCTGTAGTGATACTGCTTCGGAAACCCAAGGAGGGGTCGCTATGAGCCGGGTCCAAGTCGATGGCACATAACAACACAACAACAACAAAGGGTCTCTATGAGGCAGAATCGACTTGATGGCAGTGGATTTGGTAGTGCAAACTGGCCTTAAAATCATATTAGTTAATAATTCCACAACTTCGAATGACTTTGGTAAATGATAAAAAGAAAGCTTTACTTCATGCCTAATGTGATGGAATGAACAACAACAAAAAAATTCCTCCTATTCACAGATATGTGGACACTTAGAAAATTACTTCCTAATATTCTTTCTCCAGCCCAGTAGAGTAAAGCTGGCTAAAGCTAAACTTACAATGAGATTTCTGTGAAAGTTGTATTTATTCCTCACTGACTCTTTTTCAGTTTTGCTGCAAGATGATATCAATCAAGCTATCAAGTGTGCAAAGAGGGTTGTCAGTGATCCACAAGGCATTACAGCATGGTATGTTGCCAAGCGTTAAAGGGTAAACTATAATATGTGCAGAGAGCAGATTTTCTAAGGACGAAGTATGCTGCTGAGAACTAAAAATTGTGTCTATAGGTATATGATGAACAATTTATTACCTGGATCCTTAAGAAACAATCTACCTTAACTAATTCAGAATCTTACTCTCTGCCTAATTGATTTATTTTAGGGGTTTCTAGAGTTTTTAAGATTCTTCACACTATATCTATTTGTTATATCTTGAAATTATTTTTAGAACAAGGAAATGTGTAACACACATAATGCAACATTTGTATTCTGATGCTCTAGTGAGGGCTTTCAGAAGGAGTGGTTTGCTTTACGTACATATCTCCATTTAATAAACAATAACATCTGAATCTATCTGTTCTGGTTACCTAGTGCTGCTCTGACAAGAAATATACCATAAATGGGATGACCTTAACAAACAGGAGTTTATTCTTACAATTTGGAGGCTTTAAGTCCAAGTTCAAAGTCCCAGGCTCTAGGGGCTGGATGAAAGCCCCTCAACCTTGGAGTCCAGCTCTGCCACCTGGTCCTGGCCCACTGGAGCTAGAGGTGTTTCTTCACTCAGACAGCTGCTAGCTGCTGAGACTGAGAAGCCCCAAGGTTGACAAGTAAAAAGGCACAGTCCAGATGTTACCAAACCACATGGCAGGCCATTAACTTAAGTCCATTCTAAGTCCCAAGGTCAGTAGAGCATGGCAGGATACTGAGCAACGGCACAGCTACATGCAGGGTCCAAGCATGTCATAGGCTAGAGACCATTCTCAAAGCTTCTCCTTATATATAGGAAGCAGACCACATCCCAAAGGCAGCTACTCAGCTGCTTGTGGTAGATCCCACCATAGAACTGATTGCCAGTCTCCTCATGGGGAATAACTACCACCAGCTGCCCAGCCACTCAACCAGGCCCAGCCAAGTTGACACACAAACATAACTACCACACTATCTATAGCCTATATTTTATTTATTGACAGATTACTTTGTTCCCCCAAAAGATGAGAAGTATGTATTTTATCATAAAGATACTTCAACCTTTTCATGGTTTGTTTGATCTTTCTCTACAGGAGGGCATGGCAAGACCATTGTGAGAACCGGGATCTCACTCAGTACATTCAAGGCTGTGGAGTTTAACTGCAGAGTTTTCATTCTTAGCATATTTTTGCCTTTTTTTCATATTAAGAAAGTTGCAAATAAATGAAAGGTCACACTACCATTCTTTCCCCTTCAAGAAAGTAAATTCTTTACAGAAGCAGTAGCAAAATACCATCTTTCTTCTAAGACGCTTAATGATGATAATGTATATACTATTAGATATTATGCCTATGACATTTTTCAGTTTGCTTAAAAGAACGAATGCTGGTAAAAATGAATCTAAAGTCTTGGTTAACAAATACGTCTCCAATATAGTCAGTTCTTATTCAATGAAATAACCCAGACTTAATCTTGAATAATATAGTTATTCCACAATATCAGATTAAAATGTTATAAAAGATTGATCTCAGGCAGAATTCTGAAAGCTATGTAGGCATACTTTGTCTTCAATAGTTCAGTCGCCTCCAAAAGCAGTAAAGATGCCCACTCTTTGTTAGGCAATATAAAATTTGAAAAGTGCAGAATGCCAAATGTCTCAAGTGGAGATTGCCTGAATTAATAATTTTGTTTTCATGAAGTGTGTCCTTTAAAAAATTCTCACACGAATCTTGCTGATCTTGAAGGATTATAAGAAAGAATGAGATAATCTGTTGCTATTCTTTAATTTTATTAATGTAGATTCATGCATCAAGACTAAATCCAGAAGGCAGATGAGTTTGCAAGTATTGAAATAGTTGCTAATTAACCACAGGTGTGAAATTATGCACAGTGTTAAAAAAATGCAAATATGATCATTAAAGGCTTTGCAACTTGCACCTTGTCTGTCTTTGTTAACCTATCTGAAGTCTCTAAAAAAACAAAAAAAAATTGTATTTGGAAAAAGAAAACCATAATTTGGCACTCTTAATATAATTCCTTATGTCCTCAATTGCACCCAAGCAGCTAGATAATGCTGCAGAAAAATCCACAAGCATCCTGACAGTTCTCACTTTAAATTCATAACCACAAATCTCAAATGAACACTCAAACCTACCTGGCCATTTTAGTCATTTCTAAGGAACGCTTCTGTTTTGCTGTCCTCACTCACTAAAGCAAATTTTACTTCTCCTTCTTCAGATCCTACTACCCTCCCCTAAGTCCTCCACTTCCCCACACCCCTACCTGCCTAATATTACATGGAGAGAATAGATGTCTTCTTCACCCCACTCAGGCTCTGATATCTCTCAATGGGCTGCCTTTCCACACACCAACTTGGACCCCCTCCTTACAGGGTTACAGCTCTGACATACTGTTCTGAACTAACCACTGTCCTGATAGGAAGGAGGGTAGTTTTTTTTGTTTTGTTTTGTTTTTAGCCCTTTGTTCGCTCCCACCTGTGTGGCACAAACAAATTGCCATTGGCTGCTAAGTTACAGGTTGGCAGTTCAAAATCACCCAGCAGCTCCTTGGAACTAAAATCCTGGTGAACTGCTTCCCTTAAGATCATAGCCAAGAAAACTTTATGGAGCAGTTCTACTTTGTAACACATGGGATAACATGGGTCAGGGCTGACTCTGTGGCAGCTACCAACAACATATCTCAAACACTTAGAATAGTGCTTTGGACATGGTACATATTTAATAAATATTGAATGAATTTCGATTGATGGAATGAATTGTTGATTCTTTAGTATATTTCTCCATGTTGATCCTTCCAAGGTGTTTCATACTCTTTAAGCCCACATCATTCCATTACAACAGATACTGGTATTCCAAGAGTCAGCTTCAAGTCTATGTGAATATGGTGCAAAGAAATCATCCATGGAGGGTGGGCAGCAAAGGGCCCCAACACAGGTGCAGCCTTAGACTCTGGGACCATCTTGATACAAATGAACTCAGGAAGCTGGGGCAGGATTCTCTAAGATATATGAAGTGGGTCAAGGTAGGGAATAGAAACTTGAAGAATGACAGTCAAACACAGAGATGGGACATATCCAAGATCCAGACTGCCTGAGGGAACAGCCCAGTTGGCTGGAAATGGAAAACAGAAATGTCTGTTGGAGATTTTCTTTAATGTGTTTGATATATCTGTGGTTTTAATATTATCAAATTCCCAAACCAAATTTATCCTCTTATTCTGAGAACAGAATAAAAATCAATACCAGTGCTTGATCATTGTCAAAAGAAAGTCAATTTCTACATTGTTTAGTTTCACCTCTGGATATTTTTTGAAATTTAGAGTGCTATTTTATGCAATAACCAAGTTCTTCATGTGGCACCAATTATAACTAAGCCCTAAACATGTTTCTTACATTTCAATTTAGTCAAATAATTTTTTAAATACTTTTTAAAATAAGCTGCTAAAGGAAATTACAAAAAAAAAAAAAATGTAATCACTAGAAGCTATAGTCATTTAAAGAAATACTATTTTTCAAGTCATTTTAAATGCATGTATATTATGCAAATTATCTTTTAAAGTGGCTTTTAATTTTATTTTTAGTAACATTACACATTCTCAGTGTTTATAGCCTCAAATACTTCCACAAGGCTTGTTACAAAAAAATGTGCCCCCATCTCTCCTTCTTCAGTTGCAACCACTTTCTACTCTTAGCTTATTCATATTTAGCTCTTTTTATATTTACCCACATGACTTTAAATATTAGGTTTATATTGCTCCTTCCTGATTTTTCCACTTTAGGATACTGACTTCCTGTTATGGAAGTTAAGAATTAAGCTTTATCCACCCTTCCTTGTGTGCGGTTGTTAGATCAATACAGAGAGTTTGCATAGTTGTAAATACAGTTCCTTTTCTTGCACAAGATTTTGTCTTCCCCAGAGTTAATTTGTTGTTGTTATGTGCCATCAAGTCGGACCTGACTCATAGCGACCCCTCCTTGGGTTTCTGAGGCAGTATCACTACGGAAGTAGATTGCCCCATCTTCCTTCCGAGGAGTGGCTGGTGGGTTTGAACCACCAGCCTTCTGGTTAGCAGTCAAGTGCCTATACTACCAGAGCTCCTCCTCAGAGTTAACAGCTGCACAGTTTTAAATTTTGCTTAGCTTTCTGTGTATCTGTCATTAATTCAACTCCCAAATGCTAACTCTAATATTTAAGTCTCCTCTCAACCCTTCAGACACAGCTAGAATTTTATCAATTTTATATTGGAGCAGTATCACCCAGAGATTTTTGACCAGATTTAATCTGGGCTGGTTGCTGTGTAATTCCAGAACTAAGTTACCGTCCTAGGCTTGCTCTTGCAGCATCACCTTGAGATGCTTTTCTCTTTCTATGCTTGACATTTATTGTTTCCTGTATTTCATTATTTCCTCCTTTTTATATATATTAAATACATTTATTACAATATTTTATTTAATTGTAGCTATGGGAAACATATAAATAAATATGTATTTATCAGTAACATAGGTAAAGATGAATTTGGGAAGGGAGGCATATACTTGTGCATCTTTACAAAATTCTCTTCCCTTTGATATGACCCTAATCGCCAGGCATTTCTGCTCTGACAGCTTAAGTGTTTATTACCATGCTGAGGTCCTATCTCTATAGGCTCCGTTACCTTACACCCATAGCAGAATGGGCCAAGTGGTTTATGAATAATAAGACTGAACACTATTGAATATGTAAAATATATTTCCCTCTGGGCTAAATACTTTGGAAGGATTACCTCATTTAATTCTCATGACACCTAGTGACTTAAGGACTGTTATGATCCACATTTTATGGATGAGGAGATTCAGACTTAAAGAGGATGACCAACTAGCCCAATGCCACAGAACAATAATGGGCAGGGTCTGGCTTCAAATCCAGTGAGTCTCCCAAGCCTAAGTGCTTAACACAGAGAATGGATGGAAGCTCATCCATTCGGGTGCTCTGCTCTTTATAGAAAAATAGAATATGTTGACTGGGGAAAAAAATGGTATTCCCCAATGGAGATCTCAATGCAATCCCCAACACAATTTGGATCACCTGCCTCCCCAAAAGTAAACCACCTCTGTTCATAACATCTGCCAGTTATCATCCTAAAATTAATTTCATACTAGAAAGTTGACACCTAGCTCAAGAATCTAATAAACTAAGATTTCAAAGATAACAATGGCACCAGAATTTTTACAGCCTTTCCTCCTTCTTGTGAAGTACACACTGTTGGGGGGGGGGGTGCCTCATTGCTGTCAAGTGGATTCCATCTCATAGTGACCATAAAGGACAGAGTAGAAACTCTTCTCTCAACCTTTCAACCAGAACTTACATAAGTAAATTATGAAAAATGTACTTTGGAAGCATTAGCCACTACACATTTAGTAAGTAATAACACAACTTACTTGATCCCTTGACATTAAAATGATGTTAAAATATCCTTGATTGTGTAAGTTGCTTTCTGGGTGTGATGGTCTAACACAAATTTGTTAGGTTCTTTCCACAGATGATGAGTGTCCCACCTTTACATGATTGTTTTTTTTTTTTTTTTTAACTTTTTGTTGTGATTTGGGTGAAAGTTTACAGAGCAAATCAGTTTTCCATTTAACAATTCATACACATTTAGTTTCATGTCATTGATGGCAAACCCCTCGATGTAATATCCCTCCTTCCACTCCCTCCCTGTTTCTCATTTCCATTCCTCCTTTTCTTCTAACCCTTCCTACCTGCTGAACTTTGTCCTTGGGCAAATGCTGCCCTTTTGATCTCATATGGTTGATTGTCCTAAGGCGTGTCCTTCCTAGAGTTATTGTTCACCTTGTAGACCTATTGTTTAACTGAAAGTTCAGCTATGGGAGTGAGCTCAGTTCCAGGTCTGAAGGTTAACCAAGGACCATAGTCTCAGGGTTCCACCAGTAAGCCTAGTCTTTTTTTTTTTTTTTAATATAATTTTGAGTTTTCTTCCACACTTTTCTCACACTCTATCCAGGACCTTCTAAAGTGTTTCTTTTCAGAGCAGTGGGTAGTGGCAGCCAGGCACTATCTAGGTCTTCTGGTCTCAGGGTCATGGAGGCTGAGATTTGTACAGTAATTTCCTTCTTTTTGGTTTATTCCCTCATTTTGGTGGAT